TGAGAGAAAGAGACAGAGAAAGTAAAGTAACCCCAGCAGTGTCTCAGCCATGATCATGGGCACACTTACACACCCAGTAAAGGTACAGGAAGAATTAGGGATGTAAACCTGGAACCTTCCCGTAGGGACCTTCCTGTATGACTTCAATATCAACAAACCGCTGTACCACTGTGGCCGGCTCTTTCTTGTATTTTTAGACACGGTAGGCAGATTTGGTAAATTAGGAAATAAATTAAATGTTTCAAAATTTTGCATGTGGAGTTGTTTTTTTTTGGGGGGGGACAATGGGAATTTTTACTTTTTTTTTTTAATTTAAAAGCTTATTTACTTTTTCTGAGAGAGAGAGAGAGAGAGGTACCTTTGACAGAGTCTCACCATGCCGTGATCCTCCCTCAAACCTCCTAGCCAGCCAGAATCATAGGAACTTGGGAATGCCTGGCATGCTTATGTTGACCTGGAATCTGAATTGGGACGTCCTATGTGGCTTCAGCATAGCCAGCAGCACCATAACGTCTGAGCCACCATGACTGGGCCAAGATTTTTACTTTTAAGTCTGCTTAATGGTTTCCCTCAAATGTGGCTTCAGGGTTATAGAGAAAAGTGAACATGGCTGGAAAGTCAGATGTAAGGCCATATTAACTTTGATAGGCTACATGCTATTCCTATGTTAGAACATATCAGTTGTCAGCAATAGATCACAACCCTTTCTAATTTTTAGGCATATGAGGACTTTGTAGGAGGGATTCAGATAACTAACAGATTCCAAGGAATTGCTGAATCACCAGGCCTCTGGTGATTCAGCTCCAAGGGAGTGTCCAAAATTCCCTGACCTTGTCTTCTCTGGACAGTACCCTTTGAAACATTCAGCCCCATGGCGTCCATCTGTTTTTCTTTCTTCTATAGATAGATGCTCTTTCCCAGGAGACGATGTTCATCTGGTCTGTCTTGGGTCACATGCTCTCTGTTCAGGGCCTTAGAGACAGCCTCATGGAACCAGAAGAAAGGGGAGGGGTATGGTCTTCAAAGGAAAAACAGGTTACCATGAGAAGGGTAGGCTGGGCAAGCATCTACTCTATTGTGGCAAATAGGACCATGAATAGCATTTTATTTTCTGCTACCTCCTGAGGTTTACCACCTAATGCTAAGTCAACATGAAGACAGGTGGAAAGACAATATTCAGGTTAAGAATCTGCTTCCGAGAGACCAGCAGATGGCATAGTGGTTATGTCACTAGACTCCCATATGGCTGACTGTGGCTCAAGTCCCGGACCTGATGGCTTAAAAATTATATTGGGTGGGAACCAGCAGTTAGTGTAATGGCTATGTCACTGGACTGCAATTTGTCCAACCACGGTTCGCGTCCCGGACCCGGTGGCTTGAAACTCACGCTGGGTG